TGAGATTCATAAAGAGTAATAAGATCCCCCTGGTGTGTGTGGAGGGTAGGAGGGCCACCGCAGGGAGTGGCACATAGGGTGACTGCTCTTGATGATAAGGGGTGAACTGAGAGACTCCTAGGGGAGCAATGTGAGCCGCCTTCCCAGTAATGCTCTCTTATGTTCGCTGTTTCTAAAACACTTTCTCATTCATTGTCTCTTCCAGTTCTCCGAGGTAAGCAGGACATGGGTAATTGCCTCCATCTTACAGATGTGGTTCAGAGGAAATAAAACCAGTGTTCAAGGTCACATAGCCAGACACAGGCCAGGACTGGGATCATGAAAGGCTCCCTTGAAAGGCAAGATCACAGGCTGTGTGTGCGCAGTTTGTGGGTGTGGATGGCCACACCTTAAGTAGGTACACAGGGAAGAGCGTTGCAAAACCATTTACTGGTATTTGGGGACCAAGAATGTTTGCCCTTTGGATAAATGGATTCGGATCAGATGCAGGAAGTGTCTGGGCTTCCAAAGGAGGTTCACAATTTCCCTCCCAAGCCCCATGCACCTGATCAAGGAGTCTCCTTTTTTCTAAGGCAGCCTATCTTGATCTAACTTGGAGTTGTTCCTATTCTGTTTTTCTCTTAAAGCATTGGAAGCTGTTTCCATGAATCTGTTAGGGAAAGAGTTAAGGGATGGGGGGCTCTCTTGTAGAAGAGGTATTGATTCACTTGTTCTCTATTCTTTAGTGCTTGCTATGTAAACAGACCTGGAGAATAAAGAAATGCATGAGGCCCCGGACCCTTCCCTGAAACCTCCAAGCATATGTGCACGAACACACTGGGCCTACCTGTATACTCACCCACAATGGCCGAATAGCACAATTTTCTAATGAGGCTGTTTTCAAAGCACCCTGGTTACAGAAAAGAAGAGACACTAACTAGTTATTGAGCGGGGGAGGGGAGTTGTCTTGAGAAAAGATGAATGAATGAGTTTTCTGAGCAGATGGAAAGGGAAAAGGAATTCCTGCTTAAGACAAACAGTATGAGCAAAAGAAAGGAAGGAAGGAAGGAAAGAAAGAAGAAAGGAAGAAAGAAAAAAAAGAAAGAAAACAGTAAGAGACATAGAAGCACAAGAAATGTCTGCTAAATTCATGGCTTGGAGCTTACTGTCATGGGCACAGACTCTGGGAGAGCTATAGGGAGATGGAACCAGTGTCAGGGTCACATCCACAGGAGTTTGACAACTGTTAGTTTTTTTCAGCTTGCTCAATAGCTGTTAGTCTTCATTCCAAGCCAGCCCATTGCCTACTTCAAGCAAAGGCCTCCCTGAGACAGGAACTCATCCGGGAGCTTGTTAATCAATGACTCTCCAGGAGATGGAAGCCAGAGGTGGCTCCTAGGGAATGAGTCTGCCCCCTCTTCAGCTCTCTGCTTCTTCTTACCCCCAAACATGCCCAGTACTTGGACCCTTATCCTCACCCAAACCCAGCACCTAAGAGTCTGTAATGTGGCCTTTTTGTTCCTCTAGTCAGTTCCAAATGTCCTGAGAGACTCTGACTGGAGGGTCTGATGGGTGAGAGGTTGCTTGACTCTCCACTCTACCCTGCCCTTCTCTTGCCTCTTACTCCCAAGTCCCACACAAACTGTCTCTTTCCCCAGGGCCAGCCACCCAGGCAGGTAAGATGCTAGGAGGAAAAAAGGGACAAGCCCCTCAGTTGGTACCCTGTTTACCTAGGCTGGAATGTCAGGTGTAAGTCAATCCAGAGATCAGGGATATCTTAACCTGTTAGGAAGACTATGTAGCCTTCTCCATCTTGGGCTCTGAAGGCCTCTAGAAGGCTCCCAAAGACTGCTTCCACTAGCCAATCCAATCTCTCAAGATCTTGCAATATGGCTCTGTGATTCATACTGTCACAGAATGTTTGAGTTTACTATGACCCCTTCATTTTACAGATGCACATAGTAGTTGAGATCCAAAAAAAAAAAAAAAAAAAAAAAAAAAACAAACGGAAATCACATGCCCAAAGTCACACAAGTAGCAGCTTGACCAGGACAGCTGCCTGGGCTTCCATTTCCTTTACTGTAAAATGAGGACATTTAGTCTTAGTGAACTCTGAAGTCCCTTCCAGCTCCTGCACTACACAAACCGCCATCTGTGGCATTTATAGCCATGCCTTATAGAATGCTCTTTAATTTTCACCACAAAGCCATGCTACAGAGAGTTAATTCTGGGACATGTGTTTTAATTATTTTATGACATTTGTGAGGGAGGTTGTGCATGTGGAGGTCAGAGGATAACGTTCAGTAGTTGGTTCTTTCTTTCCACCATGTAGATTCCAGGATCCAACTCAGGCCATCAGAGTTAGCAGCAGGTACCTTTACTCACTGAACCATCACGGTGGATGTCCCACTGGGACAGATCCATACTCTATCTGTCCAAACAGATTTGATTAATAATGCTCCATTTATTTCTATGCAACTGCAGACCACCATCTCACCACTCAGCTCACTCTCTTGGCTTCCAAAAGTCTTTTACTAAGGTGCCAGCACTCTGGTGAAGAAGGTTTTTAGGTTGTGCCATTGGCTGGTCCACAGGTTAAACAGAGGCTTTCCACAAAGTCACCCAGTTAAGATGTTGTGAACCTGGGACTGGGAGACAACAATCAGATGTCCCTTGGCCACCGCATAGTTCCTATAAGGACAAATGTAGGCAGGCCTGGGCCAGCAGTTGCAGGAAGGGGAGAGGAATAGGGGTGGGGTCAGAACCCACAGAAAGATGATTGCACAATTCTTAGGAACTGACCTTGGGTGAGTTTGTGTGTCTGGTTCCTCTCTCTTCCTTCTTTTCTGCTTCTTCCCCAATCTCTAGCTCTCAGCTTTCCTGTCAACGCCACGACTGTGGCTGTATCCAGATGCACCCTGGAGAGGCCAAGGAATTGAGGAGCTGTGGGACATCTACAAGGAGATTCTCAGAGATGTCTCAGAGCCAGCAGAGTTTCTGTACTGTTTGGTGAGTTCTCTAGATCCATGATGCCTTCCCTGTGCCCCATCAGTCAAAACAAGGCCCTTTACAAGGAAGGACACCCAAGAAAACTGACCATCAACAGGGAGATTTCACCTACGTCATATGGAAGCTCCCAGCTTTAAAAACTGAGTGTATTTGCTTCTCAAAATGGAAAGCACATTAATGCTCTTCACTGCAGTGGAAGAGTACATGCACAGTAAGCTTGGGAAGCATAACAGCCTGACTAGTAATAGTTAAAAAGGCATAACTCCAAATGTGCCCTCTAACCCTATGAATGCATAACTAAGTAGTGTTACCCATCTTCACACTGCGATGGTAAAAATCTTAGAACTTTGCATCCTGCAACAGAAATTTAGTACTCACTGTTCAACAATTTCCACTGATTATCTTTTTTTGATAGATAAGGAAACCATGCCTGTCACGGAAACCAACTTCCCTCCATGTGGGCTTGTCTTGATCCATGCTGGTTGTGTGTGTCTGTAAATATGTTTGGGGCCTTTCCTCCTTTTGACTTTATGTTAATCATTCTCTCTACCAAATCCCTCTTATGTCTCACACCTGTCCCTGTTCCCACTTTGTCATGCCTTCTACCCTGGTCAGCAGCCTGTTTCCAAACATCTTAAGACCCTTGCCTCAACTTTCACCCCAGTCAGGTCACAGAGCAGCTACACAATTATTTAGAAGCACAGATCTGCCCATTTTACCTTCTTAGAATGCAATGATGTCTTTAAAGCCCAACTTCAGGATCAAGTTCCAACACACAGCACAGCACTCCAGTCCCCTGTGATTTGGCCCCATTGGCTTCTTCTGCTCCATGTCCTGTCTTCTCCTTCTGTTCATCTTACATTCCAACCTCGTTATGTGACCTTCCATTCTTCTAGACATTTTATGTACTCTCTTGTTGATGTACCTTTGTTCATCTCTTTCCGGTACTTGCCTTCTCTAAGCCCTGATAAGTGTTAATCACTTTGACTAGCTCTTTTACATAGCTCCTGGGTTGCTACCTGAATCATATTAGGCTGCCCTTGAGGGTGAGGACTGGGTTTTAGCTTTCTCAAGACCCCGGCACAGATCCTAGTCCAGGAAAATAATGATTGGCTGAATGACTCATTGAATCATTAATTTTACTGTGGTGTTCCTGCTTGCCACTGGTCCAAGCGGAGGAAAACTCAGATTTCCTGCCTCTTACATCTTAATTCAGGAAGTTTTTCTCCTTCCTTCATCCAGAAAAGAGCACAAGTACTGGATGGCAGAGAACCTCAAAGGCCTTTTATGGAATGGAGGCCAGTCCTGGTTGGCAGGCAGTAGGAGGCCTCTAAGTTATTTAGATTCTGTCCCTCTAATTCTGCATAGAGCTGTCACGAGTATTTATTATGGTCAGAACTATCTTTTCTAGAGAGAGACCTGGTAGGTAATAATCATGTTTGGTATGTATAGGTAATAATAATGTTTGTTGACAGTTGTGCTTAGATGAAAGGGAGCTTTGGAATTGGTCATTGGATTGTGGGTATTTGACCTATTAAGGAGTCCTGAGAATAGATAGTGTTTATACTACTCCCTGATCGTGAATGGGCTACTTATTTGTTTGGGGCCTCAGTTTTCCTGTGCATAAAATGGAAGGAATTCGATTAAATAACCTCTAAGGTTCTTGCAGCCTAGTCTAGTCGATTTATACAGTCCAAAGAAAAGAGAGGGTAACATGGCTTTCAATGACCAGGAAAGACTCCATTCCACATGTTCTGTGGGATGCTTTCCTGAGTGCTTATGTGTAGCAGGGAGGAAATCAGACATAGCCCTTCCCATCACTGAGCCTGAGGCCTAGTGGAGAAGACAGACCAGTGAAGAAGGGTGGAGAAGAGCCATGGTATAGGGGCTCTAGCCTAGGTCTGCAAATTGGGGCAGTCATTCAAGCTGCAGATAATAGAGCCACCCCTTCCCTTTTTTCTCTCACTATCAGATTACATTCCAGTTCCTCCTGTACCTCAATTTCTGTTGCTATGGAGACTTCCAATGGGACTGAGACCTGGTACAAGAGCCTCCATGCTGTGCTGAAGGCTCTGAATGCCACCCTTCACAGTCACTTGCTCTGCAGGCCTGGGCCAGGGCCAGGATCTGGACCAGACAATCAAACTGAAGAGCGTCGGGCTAGCCTTCCTGGCCGTAATGATAACTCCTATATGTATATTCTCTTTGTCATGTTCCTATTTGCTGTCACTGTGGGCAGTCTCATCCTGGGATACACCCGTTCACGAAAAGTGGATAAACGTAGCGACCCCTATCACGTGTACATCAAGAACCGAGTGTCTATGATCTGATGTGAGGTGCCCAAGAATGATGGAAGATTACAATGCCTGAGGATTGTCTTTTTGGGCCCCCAGAACTCAACTCTGGAGTCTCTCAAGCCCTAGTGTCTCATCTATATAAGATGGGTAAGAAATTGGGACCAGAGAGGAGAAGCTGGTAGGCTTGGCCTTGTGGATAAGACATTTTTTTCCAGACAAAGATAGGCACTATATACTAGGAGCCCATGAACAAATATATAGAAGTATGGACTACCAGCGAGTAGGAGAAGAGGAAGCTGAAGGGAAATGGAACAGAAGACACTCTGGACACATAGTCTTTTAATGTATGATCTTCAAACATGAGAAACCTTGATAAAACCGAGCAATGCTGACAATTTGCGTTAATTCATGTTTTATTTCCTTATACACACTCAACACATGTGGGTTTTGCCTCAGCTGTCAACAAGCAGGACAGGCGCCATGACTAGAATCTAGGAACTCTGGTCCTTTTGTCTGGGACTTTTCAATGACACATGGGGTAAGATCCCGACATGTGGGTTTTGCCTCAGCTGTCAACAAGCAGGACAGGCGCCATGACTGGAATCCAGGAACTCTGGTCCTTTTGTCTGGGACTTTTCAATGACACATGGGTTAAGATCCCAGCCCAAAGACCTTGAGGCTGAGCACGGTAGTACATGACTGTATCCTAGTGCTCTAGAGGCTAAATAGGGAGGATCATTTGAGTTCAGGAGTTCAGTAAGCTCTATCTTGGTAGAGCGTTGTAGGGGGCAGTGAGAAATATCTCACTTTTACAAATATTACCAAAGACATGTCATTGTGTTAATGTATTGTACAGAACCTGTGCAAAGCACAGGGTCCTGAGCATTATATTTATTAGTGACACGATCATGTCACCTGGCCCTTCCCAGTCATGTGTCCTGTCCCAGGGACTTCACTACCTTGAGTGTAGCTTCTTCTACTCTGAATTCTGTGAGAAATGTTCTAATACCAATGTGAAATTTGCTTCTAGGGGATTATTATTACACCTAAGAGATGGCCATGTGGAATGATACAGTGTATAAAAGGCTTGGTTTAATGAGAGAATTGATGAGCATCTTACTTTAAAGTGGTGTATAACTTTAGCTATTTGTGGTGGTTAGAAGCTTTTCATTTTTGTTAACTTGACACAATCTAGAGCCATCGGGGATGAGGGAACCTCAGCTGAGAAAATGCCCCCACCTGACTGGCCTGTAGGTAAGCCTGTAGGTTATTTTCTTGATTGATGATTGATGTGAAAGGGCCCAGGCCACTGTGAGTAGTGTCCTCCTTGGGCAGTGCTCCTGGGGTATATAGGAAAGCAACTGAACAATCCAGGAGGGGGAAGCCAGTATGTAGCTTTCCCCATAGATTCTGCCTTGGTTCCTGCCTCCAGGTTTCTGCTCCAACTTCCCTCAGTGATGGATTGTGATCTGAAAGATGTAAGATAAAATAAACCATTTCCTCCCCAAGTTTCCTTCCATTATGATGTTTATCACAGCACTAAAAACCCTAACTAAAACAGCTGGGTACTTCTCTTTCTGGCCCTTTATTCTTTTCTCTTTAGTATAATGAAATAGACTTGGAAGTTTAAATGGCTTATTGATTCTGCTCTTGCACTCACATGAGTTGTTTCACATGGTTCTACCTAACTTATATGCCATGGTGAGTGAATTCTCCACCAAGTCCCATACTGAAGCCACCCATTGCTGTGTCTGATGTTGATGGAGGGATCCCGTGTGCTTCCCAGAAGGCCCCACTGAAACATACATGTTTGTATTCTGCATCTGCTCTAAGGACTTTTGGTAGCCGGTATCTCAGTGGCATAGGGTCATAGGTGAGCAGTGTGTGTGTGATACTTGACTTATATGACCCAGCATAAGATGCTGTCATTATAAAGGTCAAGAAAGCTGCTTCTTCCAATAAAACCAAACATTTCTCAGTTAACAGCATGGGAAGGTTTGGTTCCCAGCTCCATGTGGCTCAAAACCATCTGACCCCTGTTCTAAGGGATCCAATGCCCTCTTCTGGCCTCTGAGGGCACCAGGCATGCATGTGATGCACAGACAGACATACATGCAGGCAAACATCCAAACACATGAAATAAAAATAGTTGCATCTTTAAAAACAATAAAACAAATGCTTCCTTCTCTTTCTTTCTTTCTTTCTTTCTTTCTTTCTTTCTTTCTTCCTTCCTTCCTTCCTTCCTTTCTTTCTTTCTTTCTTTCTTTCTTTCTTTCTTTCTTTCTTTCTTTTTGGTTTTTTGAGACAGGGTTTCTCTGTGTAGCTTTGGAGCCTATCCTGGGACTCACTCTGGAGACCAGGCTGGCCTCAAACTCACAGAGATCTGCCTGCCTCTGGGATTAAAGGCATGTGCCACCAACGCCCAGTGCTTCTGTGTTTCTTGAATGGAGACTCAGAAGAGTGAATCCCACAAGCAGCTATGTTGGATCTCTGCAAAAGTGTCTGAGCCGATGTTTTGAGCTCTTTTTTTTTTTTTTGTATCTTCTTTGGGGGGGGGAAGAGATGGCTTCCTTAAGGACATATGTCAAGGCAAGACAGCAGATTCTGGAGTTTACAGCCAATGGGACTCTAGAGGCTATCTACTCTAAACACCCAAGTAAATGGTGCACTGTAATGGAGTACCGCTCTGCGTGGTTAGGTGGCGAAGGATGGATGCATTCTTGAGAAATGAGATTAACTAGATCTGCAGGATTTAGAGAATGGTAGAGCTGGAACTGAGCCCCTGTGTGGCTGCTCTGTGACTGTAGTGTCCCCATCTGTGGAGGAGGCTCAGCTCACACATAGACTCATCGGGAGACTTAATTCGAATTCCTTTGCTTGCACGTTACAGACGCCCAGTGTGCATTAACATGAGCACAGGGGGAGATTGTAAAAGTGCAGCACAGCTCATGGGTTCAAACTGGAGCTACAGAGACTGAGGCAGGGGATCAGGACCAGGAACTTGTCTGGATTCACAGTGTGCTTCACTACCGAGGGTTGGTAGGAAAAATTCTAGAATCCCAAGTGGCAGATTTAACACTAATCTCTCAGCTCTCTCTCAGATGGACCCCAGACCAACTGAGAGGGAGCTGTCTCATAATCTCAGCCCATCAGACCTTTGTCTGCATCCGTTTTGCCCTCTGCTGGCAAAGTCTCAGAATATAGTCTTGATTCTCAAAGAGAAATTTCACTCTCATTTCAACAGATATTTGTTGTGTGCATACTTTACGGGAAGCATCATATAGGCACAATTGTCATACATAGGTGAGTAAAACAATGCCTAATGGTATTTGCTATACATCAGGCACTGGACTATGAATTTACATGTCTTTTATTCAGATTTTAAAATCCTCACGATGATATAACATAGCAGATGTTTCCTAAAATTATTTCAAAAAAGATCACTAATTTTTGATCTAGTGCCTTTGGGACAAACCATTCAGTTTGGCCTGTAGCATGCACAGGCCAGAGCTGAAATTCCCTGGAACTAAATGAGAAAGTTATTTAGAAAAATGAGAGGAAAGGTTTGATACCAGTGATGCTGAATTTACTAGAAAGAGAACCCAAGACAAATATTTAGTGGTAAGGAATGCTTGACACGAAAATGTGCATGGGACAGAATGAAGTAGATGGGGGAAGGAAAAGAGCCAGACAAAGTGTGTGCCAGGTTATGTCTAGTCTTGGTCTGATGCACAGAGAGTTGTCCTATGTGGCTGGGACATACACTATATGGCAGAACATACACTCCTTTGATGCAAGGGAAACCTCTGCACCCCTAAACTACTCATTTCACCATTGTAAGTAACCCTGCTCAGATGGGAAGACTAGAAGGGGAGGTAAGGGGGGGTTCTGGTCAGTGGGAAACAGTTCTGTGAAGAAAGCCGGCAGCCATGAGCTGTGGAATAGAGCACTGTGAAAGTGAGTTAACCAGGGCACACTGTTGGTTGAATTAGCAATAGTTTGGTTCCTGGGGAAGATCCCAAAGTTTGCCACTGAGTCGGTTCCACCTTTTGTGGCTCTCCTTTTTTATACCATGTTGGGCCTGCTGGTGGTTAAAGAGGTACTCACCCCCTCTCACTCCCCAGGTATGCTTACATTTGCATGAGGTCCAGTCTCTGGGGAAGGTGCAGCACTAAGCCAACGATAGCATTACTCCCCGCAGATGAAGGGTTTTTACATAGGACTTCATTAGCATCTACCACAGCTGTGCTGGCTGAGAAACTGGAACAGAATGTTCCAACTTGAGAGAGCCTTCAGTAAGAGATGAGATGGAAATGGGGAAGAATGGTACATGCTTGCAATCCCAGCACTTGGAGGTGATGTAGGAGGATCAGGACTTAAGGCCATCCTCAGATATGTAGTGAGTTCAAAGCTTGCTTTGGCTACTGGAACAGGGGTCCTCAAAACTCAGGGGTGAGGGAAAGAACATGAAATAAAGAACAAAGACATAATAGCACTAAATAGAAGCAAGTAATAAACAAAAAGTTAATAATAGAAAGCAGAGGGGACAGACAATGTGAAGATCAAAAAGAGGAAAAGGGGCAGCTGGGGTGACAGCTCAGTTGGAAAGTGCTTGCCTTTTAAAGAGGCTGGCATGCTGACATGCACTTGCAATCTCAGCACTGGGGAAGCAGAGGCGGGTAGAACCCTGGAACTCACTGGCCATCCAATCTAGCCTATTTAGAGAGTACCAGGCCATTGGGAGAGCCTATCTAACAAAACAAGATGGATGGCATCTGAGAGACAGCAGCCAAAGCTGTCTTCTGGCCTCCACATGCATACATATACATATGTACCTGCATGTAGAAGCATGTAAACCACGTACCAAACAAGGAGGAAATTTTTTGTGGATGTTTCTGGAAGAGGAAGTTTAGGAAGACTTGATTAGGAGGTGCTGTAGAGTGTGATCCATGGGTGGTGACCATAGTAGGTTGATGACACTGCTTCATTGTTATTCAGTGACCCAGGACAAGGATTCCAACTAACATGCCATT